TCCATAAAGTAATTACCTTGATCACTTATGTTACTCTCTGTATACTATCGAAGCGATAATAATATTCAAACAAGACGACTCAATTCTTTGATCACAGTGACTGATGGATACCATCAATTTTTTCATACGATGAGCTGTTTCGGCAGAACCAATGATAAAAAAGGCATCCATGAAGTCACAATATTTCTCTTGTTTCTCAACCTATCATCTTTATGTTATTTGCTTCCCAGATCCCCTGTAGACTATGAATGTCCGTGAGTGTTATTATACACGATAGGAAAAATTCCGACGATGATGATGCATCTTTTTTTTTTCTTCTGTTAGTCTAACATATAGCATATGCAAGCATATAATATATAAACCTCTAATAAAGCACTCATCAAATATCATCACTGGTACTCTATCATAGCCAGAAACACAAAAAAATTTATCGTAAACGAAAGAGAATCCTACGGGTAATCATTTTTTGCACGATTTCTTTTAGCTTCATTCTTGAATAGGATGTTTGTCAAGGTAATACAATATAAATTGTTTCAGATTTCTTTATTTTGCCGTTTTTTATGTATATTTTATATGTCTTGCTAAGACTATCTATTAAATATACATAAATATACTTTTTTTTTATCGTCTATCACCGTTCTGCTATCCATAAATAAACAAAATGCAATGAATGAGTTTCATTTATTTAATTATTAAAGAAAGCAGAAACCAGCATTTAGTCCGCCAGTAGAAAAAAATGTCGTTTTGTGAACAAGACGTTGTGAGAGTCAGCTTCCGACTATATATATATATCTATATGTACGTGTGTCTTGAATTCCTACTGTTTCTTATTAACATTGACAAATGTAAAAAGGTAAGTGTATCTGTTTATAGTTTGTGTGACAGTTTCTACTGCTAGTTTTTAGTAAAAAAATTTGACATAAGAAAGAAATCAATTGAAAATTCCCTATTTCTATTTAATTTAGTAAGAAGTACACATATGTCATCTTTTACAGAACACTAATTATTATCAATCGTATCATCTTCAATATCTTACATCTGGCGTAAGTGATTATATGTATGGTATGTTGACGCAAAAGAAACCATCGAATAGGAAAAAAACTGTTTTCTTTATTGGCGTGTTCCTTTCATTTGGAGATGAGAAGAAATTGATCTGTCGTTGTTGTGTTTTCTTTTTTGAGATGAAAGAAATACGCCTAGTCACCATCATCTATATTATATTCTTCGATTATACAGAAAGAATTGAGAGCAGTAGAGATAGATGAATTTTAAACATGATAACATGTTATGAAAAGTAAACGCATAGAACATTAATTTTCAGTACGATAAAAAAAAATATTTGTCAATGCTAAAGTATTGCTACTCTTGTCGTGTAAAAATAATATAGAAAAAGAATCGAGGAAAAACGGCAGCATCATCATCATCAAAAATTTAGCTCTCGACAGAAGAGGAAAAGAGAAAAGGTGAAGAAAACTTGAATAGAATCAACCATAAAATGAAATAACAAGGCAATTTTGCACATCCTTTACAATCAAAAAATATTAAAAACTTTTTTTTTCTTATTAAAAAAAAGTACAATAGTATTTTTAACATACACTTAAAACAAAGCATTTTGTCACCATATGAACATAAATATATATTTTGTTTTAATATTTAACCAATTGAAAAAATGAAATATTGACACTTTTTTTTATTGTCTTTTCACATATTTATTCGCTTGAGACTATTATTATGATTAAATACATATATGATAATTAGAAAGACAAATTACAATTTATATGACTAATAACAAGCTCGTTCTTTTATTTCAATCATATTAATGATAAAAAAAGAAGTATATATATATTAAAGTAATTATATTTTTAGATTGTGAAAAAATAATATTTAACAAATGCCACAAATTGAAATTCCTAGTGAATTACCAATTATTCTGCGTAATTTTACATTAAGTGTATTACGCACAAAACCACCTGATATTATCGATCATGCTGTCGATTATTTCACACAACTTCAACGACAACAAAAATCAGAACTTATGACAGATGACAATATGGTCACGACAGTTCCGTTTTCTTCTTCTCCTTCTTCTTCCATTAGACATCATGAAAAAACTTTAAAAACATTAGCACACAATGCTACACTATCAGGTCAGTCGGTAACTAATTGAAAATTTCTTTTTTTTTTCCATAAAATATTAAGATATTTCCTAATCAACATGTACTTATTAATGACAATAGTTGTACTAAAGTAACATTCATTTTGTTTGCATAATAAATGGAAACATACCTTATTTGATTCATTGACGTAGGTGTAATATTTTATGATAAAAATCAATGTATTGACGTCAAAATTGATTGATTATATACAAAGAATTTCAAAAATTGATATCTATTATCTTTATAAATTTTTTCAGACTCTGTGTTATGTCTATAACAATAAACAAGTTCTGATTTAAGGACAAAATAGAAATAGAACACAAAGGATTTATCTTATTAAATCTATTAACGAAAAGAAAAAGGATAGAAGATGATAAATGTTTGCATGACAGAAATGTGAAATAGTTTTTATTTTTGCTCATGTTAGGGTTTGATCATAAGTTTATTTCTATTAGATGAATAAGAATAAAAATCGTATATGGTTCTTCTATTACTATATATTGTAATTAACATCAGTAAATAAATATTATATAGTGTATGTTTTTACTAGTCTAGGATTATCTTACACAATTAATATTGTTTCATCTATTGTCTTTTGACAATGAGTCTCGAAAGACTAAAGACTAATTGGAAGAAAATGACTTTTGAAGTAAATCAAAAATAACATTGGCTCGTATTTATTTTTTTGTTCTTTCGCCCTAATTTAATTATTATCAATAGAAAAGAATAGATATTCATGAGAATTTTAACTGCGTTTTTTTTTTCAATTTGTTTTAGAGAATAGTTCGACAATTGAAAATAATAAATCAATATTAAAACAAGAAAATTCAATGACAAATTCAGTAAATATATCAATTAATTGTTTTTCACCAGCATCATCATCAAATGAAAGTGAACCAAGTGATGACGATGATGCTGTTAATTCTACTGAAGATACACGAGTATGATCATTAATAGAATTTTATTTTATATGATTTTGTTAATTTAGCGTCATTATGTAAAAAAACATGAATATCGTCGTGTATCAGTTGCAGCTGAACGATATAATCCCGAAGATGATGATTCAGATGATGATAATTATCATGTTTATCCAAAAACTGCTGAACAAAGACAACGTTTAAAAGATGCTGTTTGTCATAATTTATTATTTCGTACATTAGAAGCAAAACAAATTGATCAAATTCTTGATGCTATGTGGGAAAAACATGTTAAAAAAGGAGAATGTATTATTCGACAAGGTATAAGCATATACGTATTTATAGAATCGTTTGAAGTTTTTCTTTATATGTCAAATAGGTGATGACGGCGATAATTTTTATGTTATTGACGAAGGTACTTATGAAGTGTATGTATCACATGTAGATGATTCCCATAGTCAAGCAATAAAAATTGGTGAATATAATCAAACAGGTTCATTTGGTGAATTAGCTTTAATGTATAATCAACCACGTTCAGCAACAGTTATTGCAACTAGTGAAGGTATATTATGGGTAATGGGTCGACAAACTTTTCGTAAACTTGTCTTAAAACATGCATTTCGTAAACGACAAAAGTATGAAAATTTTTTACGAGATCTTGATATATTACAATCATTAACTGATTATGAACGATCAAATGTTGCTGATGCATTAATACCAATTGATTATTATCAAGATGATATTATTATTAAACAAGGTGATAAAGGTGATCGAATGTTTTTTATTGAAAATGGACAATGTGATGTATATAGAAATGAAAAATTTCATAAACGTTTAAATGAAGGTGATTATTTTGGAGAACTTGCTTTACTTAATCATGAACCACGTTCAGCAACTGTTATTGCAGCTAGTTGTCAAGTTAAATTAGCATCATTAGAAGTTGAATCATTTGAACGTTTATTAGGACCATGTATGGATTTAATGCATCGTAATACGTCCAAATATATTATATAACTAGTTTGCTTATTACAATTTTCATGATAGCATTTTAGTTTAAAGAAACAGAAAAAAAAATTTATAAATATATATATACATGCATATTTATTTAAATATTTTAATTGGACACTTATGATATAGCATATCATCAAAATAAATGAAAAACAAGAATGGAATAATCTATTGTCATAGACATTGATGACTTACTTTACAAAATTTATTTTTTCTTGTTATGCTTATTTTATTCATTTTTTTCGATAAAACATATGATATATTGGAAATTTTGAATACAAAACATTATCAATGTGAGAATTCATATATCTTATATGTCTAGACTAGATATAAAAGATTACTGTAAATTCAACTATATATGAGGTGCATTCATAGAAACATCGATCTCGTTGATTATCAAGTTCTCACATTGAGAAATGTTAATTCAATGTTTTTTTTTTTTGTATACCACGTTCTTCATTGGAAATTTAATTAAAAGCAGCTTAGAAAAATAAAATTCATCAAAATAATTGTTCATATATATAAGAAAATCTGCTATTTTCTTGTTCAACAATTTATTATGTATATATTTTTGTTGTAATACTCATTAAAAAGAAAAGAAACATGACTGCGTAAATTTAATAAGGCATTAACAATGATCGATTATTAAAAAGAAAAGCTGTTTTAAAATATTAAATCACAAAGCAAGATTAATTGTAAAATTAAACATTATAAAAGATTTAAGCCACTGAAAAAACCGGTTATATGAGTAAATTAAACAAAAGACTAATATATGTTTTTAACTCACTTTCTTTTTGCTTATTGTTTTTCGCTTACAACAGGTGTTTTAGAGCAATAACAGAATGATAATGAAACAAGAAGAAAAAAAAAAGAAAAAGAAAAGGCAAATAATGTTCTGTACAAAATATTTTTTAGGCATCTAATAACGACCACCACGTGTTGATCTATTCGAAGGTGGATATGCACTACTATTACTAACACCACCATATGTACTGTTGTAGTTCGATGCAGTTGGACGATTACTACCAACACCTGTACGTTGTTGTGTTCCCATTCGATTAAGACCTGGTGGAGGTTTAGGTTTAGCTAGAATATTAACACATTTTGGTATATGTCGTTCGGCTACTTTTGGAGCATAATTACGTCCACAATGTGGACATTGAATATAATCTGGATTAACAGAAGCCGGTGGTGGAGGTAGATCAGCTAAACGACCACCTAAAAAACTATGGAATGTATTGTCTGTTCTACCTTTCTTTCTTTTTTTGTATTATACCTGCTTTTTCATAATTAGTTGCTTGTTTAGCATAACGAATAGCTCGAATAAAATCTTCATGTTTTTGTCTCCAATTTGATTTTGGAACCTAATAAAATGGATAAAACATACTTTTAAAATTTTAACACTAAAAGAAAATAATATTTACTGAAGGTTTAACTGGTTGATTTGGACCTTTGCCGCCTTTTCCTTTTCTAAAATATGCTGCTGCTTCAGTTCCTTGTAATCGTTGTTTAGTGGAATCAAATACACGTCGTTGTTTATTAGCTTTGCTACATGCTTCTTGATGTTGTTGTATACGATCACTGGCAAATGATCGATTACATATTGAACATGGATAGAGACCAGCACCACCTGATGTATTACTACTTGCAAATGCAGCATTACCACCACGTTTTGATGAACTTATTGGTACATCATCATCATATTCATCTAGATTATAAATAAAATCTACATCTTGAAATTTTATTTTAATAACATACCATGAGAAGCATTGCTTCGTTGTGGGATAGATCGTTCAGCCATTCGTCCACCGCCACTACTAGGACCAGCCGGTGCCTATGTAACATAAAATAGTACAAATATATCATAGTGAAAAACAAAAACATACACCAATAGGTTTGGCTGCACGACCTGGTTTACAACTTCGTTGATGAACTGATATACGATCAGCAGCAAATCTGCGTCCACAATTTTCACATGGCACTAGTTGAGCTTTTGATGCTTCATAAGCTGCATCATTTATTTCATCAAGAGAAAAATTACCACCACCTTTTGAAAAACAACAACAGAAAAAAAAAAGAAATTTTATTGAATCAAATCGATATTGAAGAAGAAATTTACTGCTAATATGAACATCAGGTTTACGTGGCGCTGGTCGACGTAAATTTGGAGGTAATTTAGCATTTTCAATGTGCCACTTTTCTAAACATTGAGGTTCATGAATATCAATTGATTGTGTTCCATATTTGCGTCCACAAACGTAACATAATACAAATTTAGGCATAGCTGGTGGTTGACCAGAGCCTCCCTATAAACAATTCATTAAATAAATATCATCCAAAGAAAAACAACAGAGCTTTCTATGATTTATTTTCCTTTTGAAACATACCGGTGCATTCTTATATAAATAATCATATTCGCCATAACCATATGCACCACCTGAGGATTTTTGCTGTTTACCAGTATTTCGAGGTGGTGATGATTCATTTTCATATTGATTTGCTGATCGCCTGTATAAGATATAATGGTTAATTTTTAATACAGAAATATAAAGTAATCGTACCGAGAAACAGGTTGTGATCGTGCCATAGATCCACTACTATAACCTGTATTAGCAGAAGATCGATTATTCGATGCACCATAATTATTACTAGTTACTGCTGTAGGTCGAGCGCCTTTAAAAAAAATTTGAATATTTAATTAATATAATTATATTTAAAAAAAATTGTTTAACCAGGTCGAGCGTTTGATCGAGGATACATAATTTGTAATAGATTTTGTAAAAAGTAAAAGATTTATAAAAACTAAATCTTTTTAAAATGAAAATAGAAAAATATAAAATGAAATGCAAATATTATTTCACTTAATGTGCTTCAAATATTATCAAAATTTATTGCGATCAAAAGAAAACACAGTAAAACGATCATGATCATCTGTTATAATCGTTTTCCAAGATTCGTACGTTGCTATGCAACTACCTTTAATATTAATCAATTTATTATTATTTGATTGATACAAAATTTATTGTCTTTTCTAATAAAACAAAATTAAAATAATGAAAAATTCTCTTTTGTAATTATTATCAAAGATTTCAATAGAGGGCGTTCTTTGACATGTTCAAAATTGCACTCATCCACGAAAACAAATTTAGTGTTGTCTAAATATCAGGTGTAACAAGCATATGCAAAATCTATAGAAATTGCTATTACTGTTGTTTTTACTATTTATGCTGTTGCATATCTTTACGTAAAATTTTCTATACAATAAAATAAAACTTCGCTTGTGAGATAGTTTGATGAATTGTTAAGTGAAAAAATAATAACTTATTGAGTTATTTTAGAATACTTCAGTCCTTGTTTTTCTTCTATCTTTCAATATCGTTTTGATTATATCAGGAAAAAAAAAACAAGAACAAATACGTCATTCATATATCATATTTTTCTTATTATGGATGCAGGTAATATTTGTCCAACGAAGAGCGAAGATTTATTCTTTCTGTATTTTTTTCTAATATGTAATTTAAAAGAAGTCCATTATTACTCATTTTGATATACTCAAGGTATGATAGCAAAATTGTACAGAGTATACTTTCGAAGTATAAACTTAAGTGTACAAAAAGCAATTTTACTTTAAAATTGAATTGAATCGTTTAGGTAATCGTAAATGCGATAGTGAAAAAATTTTTATCTAAAGTTTCGTTAAAAAAGGCGAGTTATGCATATTTCATGGTGATAACCATGTTGTTTTCTTTTTTATTTTTATCTTCACTTCCTTACGAACGATAACATTCACATAATGAATGGCACTTGGGAAATTTGATTCAGTTGGTAAATAAAAGTATATACCTCAACTGAGAAAAGAAATAAATCATTACATTTTATCTTGGGTTTTAACAAATAATTCCAAACATTCTAATATAATGCTTGTCATTCAATTATATATTCAAAACACAATCATAATGTATTTACGTATTCTATAAATGTAATGAAAAAGAAGAAGAAGAAGAAGAAGCAACAAAAAAAAAATAGCAAATATCTAGTCATATAATTCAAAGAACAAGAAAAATCTATAATTGATGAGTAATTGTAACCAGATCTATCTGTTGATACAAATGCCACTTTCAATTAATTATTATAACTGATATGTCGGATAGAACTATTTTTGTTGTATTCACCGCATGACGATAATAAGGCAATGATTTTCATTTGTTTTCAATCTTTTACTCTTACTCATCTATCTTGTTCGGTGTCTAATATGTCTTGACTAATTATTGTATATGTCTGCGTCTCACGTCCTCGCACACTATTTTCTTTTTTTCTTGTTCGTTGCTACTACTTGTACATGTTACATGCATACATATTTATACTTGTGATGATAAATGTCAGAAATTATTCTTTGATGCATCGATTATTGGTAGGTAAATGTCGATATTAATAACAAGTTCTT